TTAACAGAAAAAAAATTTTGGAACAAAAATATGCTGGTATTTAAAGGTGGTTTTTTAACTGTTAAGCAATGTGCATCTGCCATTTGCTCAAAAAGGAATAAGGACCAATATATTTCTTTCAAACAGGCATTTGGAAATTTAAACAAAAGAAATTTGTAAACTGAAGGCAACAGAGATAAAAGTTTTATACACTTTAAAGTCCCTTTTATTGTAACAAGACCAAAACAAAATTTTTGCTTTGTTGAAGTTCCATTAAGTTTTTCATTAATATGCTTTCTTCAGCAATCATTATTAAAACTGAGAGAAAATGCCTTAATGGAGAAGACAAAAGCGGAGTTACAATGGTTAGAGCAGCAAAGACAACGAATCCGAAACAAAGGTGCCGATGATTCATACCCTCAGATCAAGAAACGACAAAGAGGCCTCAAGATGAAGTTACAAGAACAACAAGAAGAGATTCGTAGAATGAGAGAAGAGAACAAAGCAGCAGCAAAAGAACGACAGCGTAAATTATACGAAGAAATCACAAAACGACAGGCGTCTCAGGTACAAATAAATTTAGGAATGATGATCAAAAAGATATAAATGAATGCCTATAAGTTAAATGTCAGAATTGTTTGCACCTAAGACAAACTTTTTGAAAGAGTCCACAATCTTAAAATATTGTCGCAAAATTTACACAAAAGTTGTTGTTGTTGTTGTTTTTAACAATAGTTTGATATCTGGCTGTGTAAAGTTATTAAAAGTTGTTCAGAAGAATTTAATAACTATTATTTATACAGGAATAAATACCTTTATGGTCAGAAATTTTACTGTGGTGCCTAATCTTCACACTAGCTAGGCAAATTGTTTAAAGTTACTTATTATACTCCCCGAAAAATTTCGGGGGGCGCCTTGTTCATCTGTCCAGCCGTCTGTCCGTCCGTTGTCTTGTCCGGAGCATAACTTGAAAACCCTTGATGATAATTTGTTTAAACTTCATACAGTGGTAGAGGGCATTGAAGGGGAGTGCAGTGTCAAATAACCATAACTCTATTTTGCCCGGTTTTTAGCTCACCTGTCACAAAGTGACAGGGTGAGCTTTTGTGATCTCTTTTCGTCCGGAGTCCGTCCGTCGTCCGTAAACTTTTACTTTAAATGACATCTCCTCAAAAACCACTAGGCCAATTTCATCCAAACTTCACAGGAATGTTCCTTTGATGGTCACCTTTAAAAATTGTTCAAAGAATTTAATTCCATGCAGAACTCTGGTTGCCATGGCAACCGAAAGAAAAAACTTTAAATATCTTCTTTTAAAAAACCCTAAAAGCTAGAGCTTAGATATTTGGCATGAAACATCTTCGAGTGAGTGTCTACCAAGTTTGTTCAAATAAAAGCCCTATGGTCAAAATTGGCCCCCCCCTAGGGGGTCATTGATTTTCCCTATATGCATATAGTAAAAACTTAAAAATCTTCTTTTAAAGAACCCAAAGAGCTAGAGCTAAGATATTTAGCATGAAATATGTTCTAATGAGTGTCTACCAAGTTTGTTCAAATAAAAGCCCTGGGGTCAAAATTGGCCCTGTCCCAGGGGGTCATTGATTTTCCTTATATATGCATATAGTAAAAACTTAAAAAATCTTCTTTTAAAGAACTCAAAGAGCTAGAGCTAAGATATTTAGCATCAAACATGTTCTAATAGGTGTCTACCAAGTTTGTTCAAATAAAAGCCCTGGGGTCAAAATTGGCCCTGCCCCGGGGGTCATTGATTTTCCTTATATGTGTAAAGCAAAAACTTAAAAAATCTTCTTTGAAAAAACCCAAATAGCTAGAGTTTAGATATTAAGCATGCAACATCTTCTAGTGAGTGTCTACAAAGTTTGTGGAAATAAAAGCCCTGGGGTCAAAATTGGCCCCGCACCGGGGGTCATTGATTTTCCTAATATGTGTATAGCAAAAACTTAAAATCTTCTTTGAAAAAACCCAAATAGCTAGAGTTTAGATATTAAGCATGAAACATCTTCTAGTAAGTGTCTTCAAAGTTTGTTCAAATAAAAGCCCTGGGGTCAAAACTGGCCCCGCCCCAGGGGTGTCATTGTTTTTAACTATATGTGTATAGTAAAAACTTAAAAAAATCTTCTTTTAAAAAGCCCAATGAGCTAGAGCTTAGATGTTTAGCATGAAACATCTTCTTATGGGTGTCTACCAAGTTTGTTCAAATAAAAGCCCTGGGGTCAAAATTGGCGCCGCCCCAGGGGGTCATTGATTTTCCCTATATGCATATAGTAAAAACTTAAAAAATCTTCTTTTAAAGAACTCAAAGAGCTAGAGCTAAGATATTTAGCATCAAACATGTTCTAATAAGTGTCTACCAAGTTTGTTCAAATAAAAGCCCTGGGTTTAAAATTGGCCCCGCCCCGGGGGGTCATTGATTTTCCTTTTATGTGTATAGCAAAAACTTAAAAGATCTTCTTTGAAAAAACCCAAATAGCTAGAGTTTAGATATTAAGCATGAAACATCTTCTAGTAAGTGTCTACAAAGTTTGTTGAAATAAAAGCCCTGGGGTCAAAATTGGCCCCGCCCCAGGGGTCATTGATTTTCCTTATATGTGTATAGCAAAAACTTAAAATCTTCTTTGAAAAAAACCAAATAGCTAGAGTTTAGATCTTAAGCATGAACCATCTTCTAGTAAGTGTCTACAAAGTTTGTTCAAATAAAAGCCCTGGGGTCAAAACTGGCCCCGCCCCAGGGGTCTCATTGTTTTTAACTATATGTGTATAGCAAAAACTTAAAAAAATCTTCTTTTAAAATGCCCAATGAGGTAGAGTTTAGATCTTAAGCATGAACCATCTTCTAGTAAGTGTCTACAAAGTTTGCTCAAATAAAAGCCCTGGGGTCAAAACTGGCCCCGCCCCAGGGGTGTCATTGTTTTTAACTATATGTGTATAGTAAAAACTTAAAAAATCTTCTTTTAAAAAGCCCAATGAGCTAGAGCTTAGATGTTTAGCATGAAACATCTTCTTATGAGTGTGTGTGTGTGGGGGGGGCTATACAGGTGAGCGACCTCAGGGCCATCATGGCCCTCTTGTTTTAATAATCTCCCCTTATAGAAAAATCTTGTCCAGGACATAACTCTAAAACTATAAGAGATATCAACATGAAACTTTGTAGGTGAATAGATCTCAATGGGTAGATGTGCAGAGCATAAGAACAAATACTCTTTTTTTCCTAATTTTGGAGTTATTGCCCTTTGTTAATTTTAACACTTTGAACTTTGTCCGGAACATAACTCTAAAACTATAAGAGATATCAAGATGAAACATTGTAGGTAGATAGATCTGAATGCGTGAAAGTGCAGTGCAAAAAAACCATAACTCTGTTAAGCCTCATTTTTTAATTATCTCCCCTTTTAGAAAAACTTGTCCAGGACATAGCTGTAAAACTATAAGAGATATCAACATGAAACTTTGTAGGTAGATATATCTCAATGAGTAGATGTGCAGTACACAAGAATCATAACTCTGACTTGCTTAATCTAGAGTTATTGCCCTTTGTTTATTTTTACTTTTTGAACTTTGTCTGGGAAATTACTCTAAAATTATAAGATATATCAACATGAAACTTTGTTGGTAGATTGATCTCATTGGGTAGATGTGCAGTGCACAAGAACCATAACTCTGCCTTGCCTAATTTTGAAGTTATTGCCCTTTATTCATATGAACACTGTGAACTTTGTCCCCGACATAACTCTGAAACTAGAAGAGATATTAACATACAACTTGGTAGGTAGATAGATCTCATTGGGTAGAATTGTAGTTCAAGAGAACCATAACTTCGCCTTGCCTAATTTTGGTATGACATTGCCTTGCCTAATTTTGGAGTTATTGCTACTTGTCCATTTTTAGCTCACCTGTCACAAAGTGACAGGGTGAGCTTTTGTGATCGCTTTTCGTCCGGCGTCCGTCCGTAAACTTTTACTTTAAATGACATCTCCTCATAAACCACTAAGCCAATTTCATCCAAACTTCACAGGAATGTGCCTTTGGTGGTCACCTTTAAAAATTGTTCAAAGAATTTAATTCCATGCAGAACTCTGGTTGCCATGGCAACCGAAAGAAAAAACTTTAAATATCTTCTTTTAAAAAACCCTAAGAGCTAGAGCTTAGATATTTAGCATGAAACATCTTCTAGTGAGTGTCTACCAAGTTTGTTCAAAATAAAAGCCCTGGGGTCAAAATTGGCCCCGCCCCCCAGGGGGTCTTTGATTTTCCCTATATGCATATAGTTTAAAAACTTAAAATATCATCTTTTAAAGAAACCCAAAGAGCAAGAGCTAAGATATTTGGCATGAAACATCTTCTAGTGAGTGTCTACCAAGTTTGTTCAAATAAAAGCCCTGGGGTCAAAATTGGCCCCGCCCGAGGGGGGTCATTGATTTTCCCTATATGTATATCGTAAAAACTTAAAAAATCTTCTTTTAAAGTATTCAAAGAGCTTGAGCTAAGATCTTTAGCATGAAACATGTTTTAATGGGTGTCTACCAAGTTTGTTGAAATAAAAGCCCTGGGGTCAAAATTGGCCCCGCCCCAGGGGTGTCATTGGTTTTAACTATATGTGTATAGTAAAAACTTAAAAAATCTTCTTTTGAAAAAACCCAAAGAGCTAGAGCTTAGATGTTTAGCATGAAACATCTTCAAGATAATGGGTGTTTACCAAGTTTGTTCAAATATAAGCCCTTGGGTTAAAGTTGGCCTTGCCCGGAGGGGGGGGGGCAGATCATTGTTTTTCATTATATGTGTGTAGTAAAAACTTAACATCGTGAAACATCTTCTAATGGGTGTCTTCCAAGTTTGTTCAAATAAAAGCCCTGGGGTTTAAACTGGCCCTGCTCCGGGTGCCTTTATACAGGTGAGCGACCTCAGGGCCATCATGGCCCTCTTGTTATACTTTGAACTTTGTCCGGGACATAACTCTGAAACTAGAAAAGATATTAACCTAAAACTTTATAGGTAGATAGATCTCATTGGGTAAAATTGCAGTTCAAAAGAACCATAACTCTGCCTTGCATAATTCCGGAGTTATTGCCCTTTGTCCATTTTTACACTTTGAACATTGTCCAGGACATAGTTCTGAAGGTAAATAGATATGAACAAGACACTTTGTAGATAGATAGATCCCATTGGGTAGATGTGCAGTGCAAAAGAACCATAGCTTTGCCTTGCCTAATTTTGGAGTTATTGCCCTTTGTTCATATTTACATTTTAAACTTTGTTTGGGACATAACTCTGACACTATAAGAGATATGAACAAGAAACTTTGTAAGTTAATAGATATCATTGGGTAAATGAGCACTGCAAAGAACTGTAACTCTTTCTTGCCTAAATTTGGAATTATTGCACTTTCAAAATTGTCAGGGACATAACTCTGAAACTACAAGAGGTATTCTTGTCTGTGTGCAAAACCTATAAGGGTAGCGTAAATTGATCCAACCATTTCTTGTTTAAATCTAAATTTGATTGTACTTTTATTAGTATCTAATATAGAATATTGTTTGTTACAGAGTAAGACAAAGTCTGTAGCCACACCAAGAGGTAGGCTTGGACGGCCAAAAGAAGTTCACACTGAGGCAGAAGTTAGCTCGGTGAGTATAAGTTTGTAAATGATAATGTAAATATCTGCGTTTTTGTATCATTGTGGTTGAATAATGAGTTACCTCTAGTATGCACAGATTCCTATTTTAAAAAGAGGAGGATTAAAGCTTAACATATACAATGATTTTAATATTAAGAGACAATTCATGGCCAAGTGGTTGAGGTTTTTTATTTCGTACCACTAACTGTCACAGCTATGGGTTCCAATTTACCCAGGGACTTTAATTTCTTTTATGTGAGAAAGCTTCCAGCTACCTTACCTTACATTGGTTGTTCTACTAAGGTGAAGGGCACACATAGAAAATCTAGAAAGTTGCTATGTGGCCTTAACAATGTAGATATGATTTATTTACATATTGCAATCCACTTTATTACCAAAAAATGATCAAAATATGCACAAATATATTATCATGTTGAATCTTTCCACTTTACTTAAAATCTTGAAACATTTTTCTCAAGTTTTCTTAAATTTTTTTTGCTCATTTGGAGGCATGGAGCTTTGAAACAAAACCAATCAAATCATGTTGATTGCTTCAAATGACTGTCACACTTAATTATTAAACAAAAAACAAAAATATTTAAAGGTTAACAATTCAAAGAATATGGAGAGCTTCTGTTTTAACTAGGGCATCGGCTTCATCTTTTAGTTAAGTTTCAAATTTAATTATTAAACAAAATGCTATTTCAAGCTTGACTATTGGAAGAATAGGAAGAGGTATTGTTTTCACTCGTGATCGGTGTCATCCTTCAGTTAAGTTCTTGCAAGTTTGTATCTCCAAAACGATTGAAGGGAATGGGTTGATACTCCAATTTGGATTTTGACAGAATAATGGCCGTTTTTGAACTTAAAACATTCTACATTATCCAGGCTCTTGTAGAAAGTTCTACATTATACAGACTCTTGTTTTACTATGAAGTTCTGAGAATAGTTGAGCATGCTAGCCTATTAACAGTTCTCAATGAATTATTGAAAAAATATTTTCTTTGCTTTATATAGAGAATGTTTAATTAAGAATTCTTCTTTCCTTATTAGTGTTGATTTATTGACCTGTATTTTTTTATGTTTTCTCACAGATCAGCAGTTCTCTTTGTCTTGAGCATATTGGGGGACACTTACTGTTATCACCACTATTCTTGTTCCTGAAGCTTTGGTCTAAGTAATGACATGCTCTATTTTTAGATTGACGAGGCGTCAGATGCAGAGAAACAGCGAAAGGATTATAAATCTGACTCTGAGATCTACACCGAGCCAAAGATAAGTGGAAGAAGATCCAAACAAAATCCTGAAAAATACAAGAAGATTCATCTGGATGAAAAGTAAGTAAATTCCAACTTATTTTATTTAAGTACAAAGAAAGAGGATGTTACCTGAGGTTTTATATTATAAAGACTTACTCAAACCCTTAACCTGCCTGTGGGGGGGCATCTTGTACACACAGATTTTTAGCTCGACTATTCGCAGAATAATTAGCTAATGCAGTCACCCATTTGTCGGCATCCCTGTGGTTAAGTTTTTGCATGTAAGCTGGTATCTCCATAACAACTGAAGGGAATGGATTGAAACTTCACACACTTGTTCTCTGTGATTATCTTAGATGATTGGCACAGGTCCCATAACTCTGATTTGCTTTTAATACATAATTATGCCCCTTTTTTGACTTAGAAATTCTTGGTTAAGTTTTTGCGTGTAAGCTGGTATCTCCATAACTACTGAAGGGAATGGATTGAAACTTCACACACTTGTTCTCTGTGATTATCTTAGATGATTGGCACAGGTCCCATAACTCTGATTTGCTTTTAATACATAATTATGCCCCTTTTTTGACTTAGAAATTCTTGGTTAAGTTTTTGCGTGTAAGCTGGTATCTCCATAACTACTGAAGGGAATGGATTGAAACTTCACACACTTGTTCTCTGTGATTATTTAAGATGATTGGCACAAGTCCCATAACTCTGATTTGCTTTTTTGCATAATTATGCCCCTTTTTTTACTTAGAAATTCTACGTAAATTTTTGCTTGTAAGCTGGCATCTCCATAACTACTGAAGGGTTTGTACCTTTTCGGACAATTTTATGTATTCATATAGGTAAGCATTATAATACTCAATGAAACACCTTTGTGACAACTTTTCGAATAGTCAAGCGTTACTGTCCTCCAACAGTTCTTGTTGTTATTGAAGTTTAGAAGTTCACTTCATTGTACAGTTTTTAGCTCACTTGTCACAAAGTGACAGGGTGAGCTTTTGTGATCGCTTTTCGTCCGGCGTCCGTCCGTCCGTCCGTCGTCCGTCCGTAAACTTTTGCTTTAAATAACATCTCCTCATAAACCACTGAGCCAATTTCATCCAAACTTCACAGGAATGTTCCTTTGGTGGTCACCTTTAAAAATTGTTCAAAGAATTTAATTCCATGCAGAACTCTGGTTGCCATGGCAACCGAAAGAAAAATCTTTAAATATCTTCTTGTAAACAACCCTAAGAGCTAGAGCTTAGATATTTGGCATGAAACATCTTCTAATGAGTGTCTACAAAGTTTGTTCAAATAAAAGCCCTGGGGTCAAAATTGGCCCCGCGCCAGGGGGTCATTGATTTTCCCTATATGCATATAGTAAAAACTTAAAAAATCTTCTTTTAAAGAACCCAAAGAGCTAGAGCTTAGATATTTGGCATGAAACATCTTCTAGTGAGTGTCTACCAAGTTTGTTCAAATAAAAGCCCTGGGGTCAAAATTGGCCCCGCCCCGGGGGATCATTGATTTTCCCTATATGCATATAGTAAAAACTTAAAAAATCTTCTCTTAAAGAACTGTTAGAGCTAGAGCTTAGATATTTGGCATGAAATATCTTCTAGTGAATGTCTACCAAGTTTGTTTAAATAAAAGCCCTGGGGTCAAAATTGGCCCCGCCCCAGGGGGTCATTGATTTTTCCTATATGCATATAGTAAGAACTTAAAAATCTTCTTTTAAAGAACCCAAAGAGCTAGAGCTAAGATATTTAGCATGAAACATCTTTTAATGAGTGTCTACCAAGTTTGTTAAAATAAAAGCCCTGAGGTCAAAATTGGCCCGCCCCAGGGGGTCATAGATTTTCCCTATATGCATATAGTAAAAACTTAAAAAATTTTCTTTTAAAGAACCCAAAGAGCTAGAGCTAAGATATTTGGCATGAAACATCTACTAGTGAGTGTTTGTTCAAATAAAAGCCCTGGGGTCAAAATTGGCCCAGCCCCGGGGGTCATTGATTTTCCCTCTATGCATATAGTAAAAACTTAAAAACTCTTCTTTTAAAGAACTGTTAGAGCTAGAGCTTAGATATTTGGCATGAAACATCTTCTAGTGAATGTCTACCAAGTTTGTTCAAATAAAAGCCCTGGGGTCAAAATTGGCGCCGCCCCAGGGGGTCATTGATTTTCCCTATATGCATATAGTAAAAACTTAAAAAATCTTCTTTTAAAGAACCCAAAGAGCTAGAGCTAAGATATTTAGCATGAAACATGTTCTAATGGGTGTCTACCAAGTATGTTCAAATAAAAGCCCTGGGGTCAAAACTGGCCCCGCCCCGGGGGTCATTGATTTTCCTTATTTGTGTATAGCAAAAACTAAAAAATCTTCTTTGAAAAAACCCAAATAGCTAGAGTTTAGATATTAAGCATGAAACATCTTTAAGTAAATATCTACAAAGTTTGTTCAAATAAAAGCCCGGGGGTCAAAACTGGCCCTGCCCCAGGGGTGTCATTGATTTAACTATACATGTATGTGTAAAAACTTAAAAAATCTTCTTTTAAAAAACCCAATGAGATAGAACTTAGATGTTTAGCAATTGAAACATCTTCTTATGGGTGTCTACCAAGTCTGTTCAAATAAACAAATAAAAGCCCTTGGGTAAAAATTGGCACGGGGGGAGGGGGGGGGCTATATACAGGTGAGCGACCTCAGGGCCATCATGGCCCTCTTGTTATCTTTGGAAGTTTTGATACTGTTGAGGTTATTGCTAAACAGAGGGTTACTGTCTATTAAATTTATTTTATAAGAATAAAACTTGTGGTCATATTTCATTGAAAATACAGACATGACGTCATACTAGTGTGTATAAAAATGAATACATTTCCATTTTAAAGGTCTTGCTGTTAACTTTTTCTTATAGCTCATGATTATAATTCCACTGAAAAATTGACCATGACCATGAAAGCAAAATATTGCTTAGTTTAGTGTAAAATTAAGATGATGTCTAAGTATGTCTTGCAGGCAAGTAATATGATGTATTCATGTAAGCTCTTGTTTTGCTTGCAGATGTTTAGGATCTTACAATGAGTTATCATTTTATATAGTTTAATACAAGTCTAAGAAAAGTTGTTGCAAGCTTTATATTTATATAAGATAGAAGACAAGTGATATCATGTTTTTGATAAAATAACACATCAAAAATCTCTTGTTTTCCTAAGGTATTTGACACAAAGACAGTCCCAGTTAATGGATAGGCGGAAGAATGCAGAAGAACTACTCAAATGGAAGACCATGCTGGACAAGGAAGAATCTAGGGTATTTAAACTGGAAAAACAAGCATTGAAAGTATGGGATAAAAAAGACAAAGATGTGAAGAAGGAGAAAGAACCATCGCAAAGTGCGGCAAAAAGTGAAACAGAAAAGCCGTCAAGTAAGAAGGATAATGGAACCACAAAAGGTAATTAGTACCTTAATGATACATAAATAACCAATTGTTGCATATTGAAGGATCTTGCTACTTACAGACTTTGTATTATTTGGCTTGAGGTTTTCCAAAAGTCCCTTTAATCACTGTTCGTAGGGACTCAAGTGACATTATAGGATGAATATCCATGTTCTATTCATACTCCTTGTAAGACAGGTTGTGTGCTTTAATGGCATCATTCCCTAATCAGCAACCCTTTTCTGAATGAATTGCTTTTTTCTGCTGTTTTGAATGAAGTTGTAAATTCATATGACTACTACGAGGGATGATCAAAATTAACCGGACTTTGTAAACGATTCTTAACCTGTTAAATAAATTTGCTTAACAATACACGGAAAATAAATCGGAATCTATCCTCTAAATGATACAAAAAATACCAACAAGAAATATTAACAAAGAAAAAAGTTATGCTGTTATTGGCATGCCACATGTAAAGCAAATGCGGCGCACGGTATAACTTTAAAATTGACGTTAACGACGTCACAAGCGTATTGTCCTTAACGGAGCAGATCTTTACTCATTCACGGAGTAGGCCAATATGTGGTACCAGTTATGTTATTGATGCGGCGGATCTCCTGCCTATATATATTTCTGTACAAGTGGGTATCAATATGTATTGTAATAGAATGAATGGTGATAAAGAAACTCCGGTAATGATGCAAACTTCCGTTATTTCCTTCTGTAACTTGATTGTTGAAAAAATCGCACATGCAATTAACTATATTATGTATAAATTACAAATAATGTAAAATAATGATGCTGAATGATAATGTATCATACATACGAAAAATAACAGAATAATACAACTATGATGGTCAAAATTGATAAACGGGCATAGGCATTTTGAACAGTGGCTGTTAAAATTGTTGACAAGACTACTGCGTTAAAATGAGAAATTAATTTGATGCAATTTAAACCAGAAGTATAATACATGTAATTGAGATGCATTACATATTTTCATTTTGAAGAGTGACTGCACGCGTCCCGTAGTTATTATCGAACGATCGCGTTGACAATGTCAGGCGTCAATCTGTCATTTTTCAACTGTCTTGGCGATTGACGTCCACCAAAACGTCCTTGAAAATGTCTTTTTTCTGTCTCTCCCTTACTTGTTTCTTATTTCTCTATTATCTTTCTTAATCTTTTAAGCCTAATTTCAAAAAATATGCTGTGGCTTTCTGGACTTTTCCCTTGTTAGCCATAATCTTTTTCTACGTTTTAAAACAGTTTCTCGTCTTACATTTTGGACAAATTTTTCCTATTGATACGATTTTCGAGACATTTCCTACCGACATAGTTTAACCGCGGGACTATTTTCATTAACATGTGGACGTTTGAATTGTGATTGTAAATATAAATATGGTTTTAAATGAAGTCATTTTTACTGACAACGTCAAAGATATTGCTACATGACGTTTTTTTTGGCGTATCTTTGAAATCTAATTGACTGCCATATTGTTAAATACACGCAGCATTAGAGCGGCCTCACTGTCAAGGCGAATTACGCACTGCGCCGGGTGTGCGTTACCATGGTTTTTTGAATCAGCTGTTACGGACAAGCTATTTGCGTTATCAGATTAGATATAGCATCCAGTTTACAGTATTGTTTTTCAGATTAAATGTGATAATATAACAAATAAGTGATAGGATGAAAATTCTTCAATTGCCAGTCACAGTCCGGTTTATTTTTTTGATCATCCCTCGTATAAGACAAAATTGCTTTATGAAAAATATTATTATTCATAATTTCTCCCCCAAAGTTTAATAAATATGTAATGAGATTTTACATTTGTTTTTTTAGTGTTTAATTTATAAAATAACACAATATTTGCTAAAGAAAACATGATAAATTTCATGGGTAAAATATTAGATGGCTGAGATATGGTTTGCCAACTTGTTGAACTTCAAACTTTTTGAGATTGCTTTCATGTTAGGGAGTTGTCAAATTAGGTCTATGACAAGGTCAGTGGCTATACATCAGCTTCCATGCGCTGCCTGAAATAATGCCCAGAAGGGCACCTAAGGCCTGGCTTCAAATATTACCATGAAAGATCTCAATAGTGTCGGTAGAGATATAAAACTTGTAATATCAGAAGAGAAAGATTAGAATAAATTAAAAATAATTTATTTTTCTAGATTCTACAATTTAAAAAACAATGTCAGTGTCTCAGGATAGAGATAGTACTGTAATTTCTGAAAAACAAATTAACAACTGCTCGATGATAATCACTCTACACCCAGCATCAAGGAAGACATCAAAGACAGCCAGTTCTCGAGAGTTCGCCAGAGGAGATTCACCGACGAATGATGAATGACAAGTCTAATATTAAGAATACATAACCGAAGTGGTAGCGAAAGCTCTGATTATGGAGGATATTCAATCAGTGTCTAGTGCTGATGATTTCTAAAAAAGTAAAGGTGTTATAACTTTTATGAAGTTAGGAATAAGCTCTGTCTTTAATTTCTAAAAGCCAATGCAAGATAAAGTGCCCAGTTATATATGTCTAAAATCATTAAAGAATAAGCATGAAATAGAAAAGGTTGTGGAGCTGTTTTCTGCAGAAACATAAATTACAATCTAGTTATCCTAAGTAAAGATATTACTTAATGTATCATGAAATGTAATTAACATAATCTTTATTGTTAGATAATCTTTCCAAAGAAATTATTCTACAGGTCATTGGCTTAGAATAGCAAAAATAAAAATGGTGGGCTCCTATAATGAAATATTTTGCTTTTATCTTGTGTCTATTTCTAGCATTGGTGAAGATTTTACGCTCTTAGTTTTTCTGGTTGTTTGCAGGATAGGAATGATTCAAGTTGATGACACCATTGACACACACAAGCTATGGTAACGAGACCTTTGATGGACACAGCCACTTGCATCCAAAAAGAACAAGCAAGAGTCAGACCACATCCAAGTCTCCTCTTGAGAAACTAAAAAAATACAGAGGCCTGTCCTCCCCTGGAAGGTCACCTAGGGGTTTGTTTAGTTCCAGAAGTCATTCTCGAAACTCCGAGAGCGAGTCGGAAGATTCATTTTCTCTGAATGGTAAGTTAAATATTCTATGTTGTATTTATGCCACAGATTGTCTGAGAATATAGAGAATCTTTGAACGCCCATTATATTAATTATTATGGTGGTGAGGGACAGCTGATGTCAGACTTGGAGTCTAATGATTATGTAACTTTACTGCTGATTCAGAAATCAGAGATGGAATCAGGATTAAAATTGGATATTACTTAAGTTAATTATCCAGTAAGGCTTGTTAGGTGGACTGACCACCAAGTTACGGTCAAGTTATGTGTTAAAATTGGCATAAAACCAAACATACAAAATGCTTTCATTTCTTATTGAGAATCAAAGAAAGAGAAAACATTATAGAGAATAAATTTCAGAATAAGTATCACTGATTTTAACCTCTAGCTTGACCATTTGAATAGTAATTGCTCCATACTACTCTTTGTGGCTTAGCAGTTGATCAAAGTTTTGCATGGGACAGATAAAGATTTTATTGAATTATTCCTCCTTAGTTAACTTTGAAAAAGCATGTACAGTTTTTACAATAAAGATATCTTGTTATATTTTGTTACTTTAATTTACTTTTATTTTGAAAGGAATATGGAAAATATGAGTAACATGCTTATGAAATAGATGTTACGTGGTATTGAAGAAATCTTGCAGCCACTAGTAATATCTTTTATTGGTTTGGTATATTCTAAATTTTAGTGACTTTTACGTTTTCTATGTAAAGACACATTGCTTATGTACTTGTTTGTACATTTCCAAGTTATTTATATAGAATGTTAACTTGTGTTTGCTATTTATAGAGTCGCAGTCCGAGTTGAGTGACTTTGAGGGCAGAATACGGGCTTTGAATGAAGAACTGAGAAAAAGGAAAACTGAGGCAGATAAGTTAAAACGGGAGAGAAAGAAGAAAAAGAAGGAACTGATGAAGAACAAAGAAGAAACTTTAAAGAAACAGATTGAGGTAATTGTTTAAAATTTCGGCAAATGCCGACTTTGTTTGACTCATTGTCACATGATACAGTGAGAACATAATGTTTTTATTGAGCTGCTCTTCAAGTGGATGTAGCAGCATGATGCTTACAGTGTAACATATTTAGGTTAAATGACTAATCAAAGCTAATAAAACTATGAAGCTATATCTGATGAAACATTTTATAAAAATAAAAAGTAACATTATAGTGTTTTCATAACAAATAACTATGGCCTTTTCTTGATAGATTTATAACATAAAATGTCTTTGAAATTAAATGTACATGAATGATTATATGTAAACAGAGTAAAATGTTCTGTAACAAATTATTTGACTTTTTTTATTAGGTTTGCTGATGATAATATGATAACTTAACATGTTGACTCTCTTTCAATAAAACATGCTGACAATTTCTTCCATTCAAAGTATTCTGGAATCTCTTCATCACAATATAAACAATATTTTACAATCCACAGACAGCAAATATTTAGCTTTATATACCATAAATCCTGCATTCAACCTTAAAAATACTGGTAAAACTGCATGATGTATGTAAAATTATATATGAAAATTACTTAGGTTACAGTATTTTATTAGTATGGGTAAAAACTGAATTAAGAGGGTATAATGATTTTATAACACACAGTTCATCAAACATTAAAATTCTTCTTGTTATGACAGTGTATGGTTTATAGGCATACATGTGAACTCTCCGAGCGGGAGACTTCCACTTTCTGCACCCATATTTTCAAAGATTTATCTTAAAATAAGGGGTATTTTCACAAATTAAAGAAATCTCCCTCATTTTGATGTCAGAACTTTCTTATTTGTTTATTGCAAATTCTAAAATCTCCCTCTTTTTGAAGAAAAATCTCCCACTTGATCATCGAAAAAGTTCACATGTATTTTTACAGGAACTCGAGCATTTGTTTCACACAGCTTATTCAGAAAGTTTGTAGGATTAATAGTAGTCACTTGCAGAGGAATTGGTTACCGGTTGATTATATAAAAATAAATAAGAAATATTACATAAAAAAGTGTTTAAAAAAACAACAGAAAAACAAAGAAATCATATGGGGAAAAAACCAGGATTTTACAATCACCAGATGTCAGTATTATATTGTTTCTGCAAATTTAATTTCAGTCTGAAAGAGTTTTTTAAACTTGATTGTTGAAAATAGCAAATGCATATTTTGTTAATGTTTTATTTTAGGCATATGACAACCAGATTGCTCAGTTAAAAGTTGACCTCAAAAAGGAGATGAATCACGAGCCTGCAAAATCTACTGTCCGCCCACAGATTAAACAGCCTAAAGTGAGCCCGTCCAAGACGATCAAAACACCCACAAAACGTTTAGATACTGACAGTAGTGGACCAGACTCTGCTCAAGTGTCACCAAACATTCCTGAAGATAAAGGTAAATACAAATTATCCCCATTTCTTTTTTTGCTGAATTATGAAATTGCCAAGTTTAGACTTAATCAGCAGTCCATTTAGAGTTTAAGGGATTTCAATAACAAATCACAAAAATAGAGCTACCAGCAGTATAGTGCCTTCAGACTGCATGGGTGTGCACGCATGCCTGGCTCTATACTGGTGGCAAAGTCTCATCACTTTAGCTTCCACCAGGTTAAGGGTTGAACAAGAAAGATTACTTTTATAGTTCAAGAGTATAGCACTACTGTCTGTGATCCCCCATTGTAGGGTGATATCAATTGGTACTGCAAAATTCACTCTGGAATGCTTTCCTGCTAGCTATTTTAGGGTCAACAGAGAGCACTGGAATGACATGCATGAATATGTCAAGTATTTAACTATAAAGTTTCCCCAATAAAGGGACCTTTGCAGAATAATGTTGTACTTAAGTCTTTTAAAGTATTTTAGTAACAGTATGGAAACAAGTCTACTTCCTGTTAAGTTTAAGAACATACGCTCCCAAGTAAGGTACAATGATCGGAAGTATAACATGCTTTTAATCGCAAGACAGGGGACACATTGAAATGTATAGGCTAACAAGACAGGATTCAGTGATTTCTATTATACACTGTGTTACTGCATATTTCTTCATTGTAATACTTTATTGAAATGAACCATATGTTCTAATTATCTGATGGACTATTTCTAGTAAAATTTTTTGTTTGTTTGATTTGTTTCAGGTCACGACAGCTTTCGCTGGTTTAAAAAAAAAACCACTTAGATATTTAAGGTGCTCTTTAATTTCATGTTAACATTTTACTCTGAAGACAGCATTTTATCACTATTAAATAATTAATGAAATATTTGTGCTTCTATTGTTGTCCTATGTCTTAATATGACTGTATATCTATTGCAGACCAGAAGCAAATGTCACCAAAAACTCCTGTGACCCCAAGCAAGACAGCCAAATCCCATTTAGACAAGATTTCCGAGGGTAGCGAAACACCCACATCACGTTCAGAGAGATCTGATCTTTCATACCAGGAGCGTATTCAGAGCATTAAAGATAAATTTAGTGGAGAGATCTCGTCAGCTGTTGACGATAAAACTGACGAGATCGAAGAGGACATTATCTCTGCTGCCTCAGAAGCTTCAGATGACAAGTCTAAGGAAATTAAAATCAATCTCAGTACTAAAGAAGATATTTATGATGTGTCAGTGTCATACACTGATGACTTTGCTACTGAGCCAAACACTATGACTCATCATGAGAAACTGCCACTAAGTGCCAGATCAGTTAGCCAGAATGTCTGAAGATATAGAAACAAAAACAGTACCTCAGTCTGCTAGATCTATTACTGAACAAATATCTGAACAAATATCTGAACAAATTTCTG